TGCTCTGGGAGCAGTGGTATGGCATTCCAGAAGCCTCCTCTACTCTGGGAGAGGTGCTAAGGCTGCCCGGAAGCCTCCTCTGCACCAGGAGCCATGGTATGGTGGCCTGGAAGCCTCCTCTGTGCTGGGAGAGGTGGTATGTTGGCCTGGAAGACTCCTCTGTGCTGGGAGCAGTGCTACAGTGGCCCAGAAGCCTCCTCTGCACTCAGAGAGGTGGTATGGCAGCCCAGAAGCCTTCTCTCTGCTGGGAGAGGTGGTATAGTGGCCTAGAAGCCTCCTGTGGGCTGGCAGAGGTGGTACAGTGGCCCGGAATCCTCCTCTGCACTGGAAGTAGTGCTGGGAAATGTTATTTTTCACTACTGGGGATGGAATTTACCAAGTGCTCTACCACTGAGCTACATCCCCATCCCTTTTTGAGACAGGATCCTATTTGCCCAGGTTAGGCTCTGACTTGGTATCCTCCTGTCTCAGCCTGCAATTACAGGCATACCCTACCATGCCTGGCATCCAGGGGAATGGTTTAAGGAGATGCTAAAATGTTCTGTGTCATGCAGAGTGGTGGGTACATGACTTGACCCCATCAAGCCCACAGAACTATACATCATGAAGAATGAACCTCTCTATATGCAAAATCTAAAATTCACCCAAGATGTCTGAGAGTCCAGAAATGGAAGGCTATGACAGTGACCCAGCTGAACTCTAACTGTAGGACATAATCCCACTGAAGGGGTGGAGGGAAAAGGAGCTGACTCCAGCAGTTTTGCAAAAGGATATTTTGACTGAAAATTGAAGCACAGAGGGAACTCTGTATAAACACTTGCCTCTTTGGTGAATGCTCCTGTAAGGGTGTATGGTAACATTCAGAAACTGTGGGCTTTGTCCCAGCATGAGCACGTGGGCAGAAGCTGGCCAGAGCCAGAGTTCTCCATGTTGGAGAGGAGCCACACGTCAGCAGGGGGACAATATTGAGGAGACCCTAGAGGAGTGCAGACTCTGGAGTGTGTTGTGCATCCTAGTCCTGCCCACCTAGAGGCCTAGAGCACTGAGCACCCAGCTTCCAGATCCCAGTTTCTAGTACCATTGTCCAGTGTGAGATGCAGAGTTCCTTGGAGAAATGACTGCTCTAGGGCTGCAGCAGGAAATGTATGAAGAGCCAGGAGCATCTTTATTGCCAGAGAGTAAGAAAGTGCTGAAAACCAAAGTCTGATGTGAAGGTTTGTTTTGGCAAAGCATTATTCAGGGTATTTCTATAGTATAGTTAGAAACAAAGGAGCTAAGTGAGTCATTTAACTCTAAACAGCACCCTACTGTTATTCCTGCTTCCACTGCCCTAAGGGGTAAAAAATAACAAGCCTAGGAGATCAACATCTCCTAGGTGACAGCACAGGCACCAGAGATCTTGCACCAAGGGAGATTCAGTGAGACTGACTAGTAGAAAAGGGTAGAGTCCAAGAGGCATCAAAAGCAGAGGTTCGGGCCTTTCTGAAAGCCTGAGTTATCATCCCCCTTCCTTCCCCTTTTCCTATTGCTGTTGCAAGCTTTGACCCATGTGTGGTGCTTTGCTGTTGCCCCAGCACCTTCCTTGGTCTGGGTTATACCTTTTTTGGCATTGACTGGCTCCAAGGACAACTTCCTGTGATCTTCAGTAAATGTAGCTGCTTTCTACTGGGTGTACGCTTGCCAATTCTTTCCTTGTCATATACAAGAAGCTGGACTACTACTGGCCCATTCAGCTGTGACATCTATGAGGCACCACATTCTGGGTTCTTTGGCACCAGTGGTCCTCAGCTTCTCAGGCCCTCAGTTCAGACTGGAGGAAGGATCAGTGTTCTTGGTCTGAGGCTTCCAGCTTCTTGGACTATGTTGTCACTGCCATCTTCTCTGGCCCTTCAGCTCACAGCCAGCCACCGTGGAACTCTTCAGCCACTGTGATTGTGAGCCAGTTTCTTCATAGGCTCTGTTTCTCTGGAGAACCCTGACTCATATAGATAGGGTGGAGGGGCCACTGCAAATCGAAAGTGCCCATTGTGGCCAGGCTGAAGCAGTGTGAGCTTGTGGGGGACAGGTCTGTATGGAGCATGGCAGGTACCAAGTGCTTCACAGGGCTGACCAGGGAAGATAGGAATGGGAGGTGAGGTGGCAAAACCACAAAACTGGCAAGATGTTTAGAAGAAGCACTTGGGTAGAGTCTAACGTTTAGCAAGGAAAAGTCAGGGGGTGTAGCAGACGTCCCTGCCCAGTGTTGGTGGGCTATGAATGGCACCTGCTTCTTGCTTTCCATAATTTGGCTATATTGTTTTATATCAGGAGTCAGACCACAGCTCTACATGACTCAATTGGACATGTCAGATGACAGACTGGGCAAGTATAGCCCCTCCCTCAATGGCTGCCATGGAAACCTAAGTCCTGGTTTATGAAGTGGCAGGGCTCTGCTGAGTTATGAGCAGCTGAAGTCAGTGTGACCTCAATTAAAATCTTTTCCCCTGAATTATGGCTTCTCAGTGACCTGCTGGGGGACACAAAGAGATTCATCCACCCTGGGCATATTTCCTGAGTCTTGGGGTCTGGTTCACCCTGAATCCTCACTTTCTACTGTCCCTTTCTGCCTCTCTGTAAGTAAGAAACCCACTTTCATAACTTGCTATCTATGTGTTGTCTCACCAGACTCAGGAAGTACAGCTATGCATCACTTAAGGACAAGGACATATTCTAAGAAATGTGTTCAAGAGACTTTGTCACCATGTGAATGAACATGAAGGAGTGCACGTGTACAGCCTAGATAACATGCCCTACTTCACACCTATGCTGTATGGAATTTAGATGTGGTGCACCTACTGCTCCTGGGGCTGTGATGAACAAAACAACCCAAGAGTAAATGAAGCACAAGAAAACATGATGCAACTGAGTCACAGCAGACATGAGAAAACATTGGGGAAATTTCCTTGGCAATGGTCTTGGCAGTAACTCTTTAGATGATACTAAAAGTAGAGGGAATAAAAGCAAAAATATCTAAGTAAGATTACCTCAAACTACAAATATTTTATACAGCAAGAGAATGAAAAAGAAGATCCAAAGACTGGGAGAAAATATTTGCAATCTCTATGTATGACAAACGGCTAATATCTAAAATGTGTAAGGAACTCCTATAACTCAACAGCAGAAAAACAAATAACCCAATTAAAAATGGTCAAAGGACTTGAAGAAACATTTCTCCAAAGAAGATATACAAATGGCCAAAAGGTATATGAAAAAAGGCTCAGCACTAGTTGTCAGGGAAATGCAAATCAAACCCTCAGTGAACCATCACGTCACACTGGTTAGGAAGGCTATTATCAAAAAGACTAAAGACAGTAAGTGTTGAGGGTGTGGAGAAAAGCCTCTGTATATTGTTGGTGGGAATGTAAATTAGCACAGTCATATGGAAAACAGCAGGGAGCCTCTCAAAGCATGATGCAGAACTACCATATAATCCAGCAATCCCTCCTCAGGTATGTAGCCAAATGAATTGAAATCAAGATCTCAAAGAGATATCTGTACTCATGGTCAGTGCAATATTCACAGTAGCCAAGATAGGGAAACAACGAAAGTATCCATCAGTGAATGGCTGAATAAAGAAAATGTGGCATATTCACACAATGGAATATTGTTCAACCTTTAAGAAAGAAAATCCTGTGGTTCTGCTGCCTGCCTCAAAAGCACAAGGTCCCAAGTTCGATCCCTGGTACCCCCCAAAAAAGAAAGAAAATCCTGCCATTTGTAATATTAACAAACCTGGAAGATATTATGTTAAATGAAATAAATCAGTCACAGACTAACATTCTCAGCACATATATACAGAGGTATGCAAAAGACTCAGTTTACAGGAGCAGAATAGAATGGTGGCTGGGAGTTAAGGAGAAGAAATGGAGATGTTGGTCCAAGGATATGAAGTGTCAGGCAGGATAAATAACAAGATCTAATGTACAGCATGGTGAGCAGTTATTAACACTGTGTTGTGTACTTACAGTTTTCAGATAGATTTTACACATTCTCACCAACAAAACAAAACAGTAACGATGTGAGGTGATAAGATTTTGATAATCATTTCATAAACATTATGTTTTACTTCATAAATATAGATAACTTTTGTCAATTATAGCTCATTATATTGTAGCAAATATAACTTGAAGTTTTGTAGCTCTAGGTGATATAACAGAGTCAGGCCGAGAAGAATCCAGCACACACCCTGGAAGTTGGAGGCAGGTTATTTCACTAGCACACTGATGGGGACTTCTCCACAAAACGATCAGGCCCAGCTTGGGGGTGAACAGGCTTTATATAGATTTGGGAACGGAGAGGTAAGGATTCAGTGGCAAGATACTCAACATTAATTCATTGGTTGAGGTAGATACATTCAGCTTATACAATTGCATAGAAAGGTACACTAGGATTCACCTTATTTATGTAAGCGGGAAGCAGGGGTCACAGAAACCCTACTGAGAACAAAGGACAGTGGAAACATGTCTGGGACTCACTCAGACTTGCTGGACATGTTTTACGTGTGGGAGGGGTCAGAGCTAGAAGGAGCCTTTTGTCTGCTACCTGGTTAGCTGCAGCATCATCAAATGATTCATGGTCAGAATCATTTCCCTGTTCAATGAAAGCTGGAAAAAACTTGTTATATAAACCTAACAAAGGGGTTAATGATTATTCCCAGTTTTTCTTCACTTGACAATCCAATTTTGTCTGTTCTTCAAAGCCCCCTGTAAGATGTATTTCCTGGGTCATTAACTATTCTGAGTATGATGGAAGCCACTGACATACTCCCCAAAACATGTAGTTCATATATGAACAAATTCATAAAACACTTGAGTGCTAGATTAAACAGTATGAAGAGAAAATGAAGAATGCCAGTTCCTCCCTTTATGCTTATAAAACTCTTAAATGTGTTTCAGAGCAGAGAAGGTGAGGGCTTCAGAATCCCAAAGGATGAGAGAAATGATGAGCCAGCCACTTATCCTGGCAACATCCCTTATATCAAATTATCCATATTAGTTATAAAGGTAGTTATGGTCAGATAGATGGCTAGTGAAAGCTATCACCTAGTTAAAAGGGAGTGAGAACCTAGTTACATTAGTAAGGCAAGAAGGTAGTCAGTGATTAGAATGCTGCTCAGGCAGGCAAATACCAAACTGAGGTCAGAACCCAAAGAGGAGTTTCATTATTGTCTCAATATTTAGGGTGGAAACACCTGCTCCAAAATAGGATCATCAATACCCCCAAATTATAGTAGGATAAAGACATTTCTAAGAAAGTAGTGGGGAAAACCTAAAGATACCTGTGCCTCCATATGAGGCCTCTAGTTGCTGGAAAGAGACCTGTTACAAAGGACCAGAGATGAGGCAAGACAAGGTCCCAGGGAACTGTCCCCACAAGGACGTTAGGACTGTGGCGAGGATTTTTCAGGAAAGGGGGAAAGCATTGTCAGCCTGAGCCCCCAGTCCCTCCATGCTATACTAATAAAAGAAGGTTGTCATAAAAGCCTAGACCTGGCCCCACTCAGCTGTCTGCTTCTGGTTCACACACTTCCTCGCACACCTGAATCCTGCTTCCCTCAGTATAAACTCTCTAAAACACATTTTTTTTGGCACTGGGGATTGAACTCAGGGAGTGCTGAGGTAATTCCCTGGCCCTTTTAAACTTTGAGACAGAATCTTGCTAAGTTGTCCAGGCAGCCTTGAACTTGTGATCTTTCTGCCTCAGCCTCTTGAGTCAATAAAGTATGTTTTGCTAAAAACTTAGAAAATCAAACGTTTGTAGGATTTTATTCTCCTCTTACTTACCTGAGGCTCAGAGAGATAACACCTTTCAGTAAATCATTTTCTACATCTTTTGTAATCTCTAGATTTCTTGGCTCTGATTTCTCTAATTAAAATGAGTGTGAATTATAGGCTAGCCTTCTAAACAATTAGGACATTGAGAGGAGTTTCTAATCTTGGGTAAATGCACCAACATACAGTGAGCTCTGACATCTCAGTGGAAAACATCAGCACTACCCAAAAACAATAGCAATTGCCATGGAGCCCATTATGTTTTAGACCTAGAAGTGAATCACATCATTGGCTAGATCTCATTCACATGGCCCCATCCAGACTTAACAGAGGCTGAGAAATGCAAACTACCTATGCACCCAGTCAGGAAAACAAACACTGGTAAACACAGTGCCAATGTTTCTCTCCATGTGAGTTCTTTGATGTAAGTAGACAGCTGACATGTGGTGGAAAAATTTCCCACATTTACTATTTCCATAGAGTCTCTTCATTGGGTATACTTTCTGTCATGTCAAAGGCTCTTAATTGGGGTAGGAAGGTTTGACACCACTATTTTAGTATTTCTTTTCTCGGTGTGTTCTTTGATGTGTGGCAAGAGTTGGTTTGTAGCAGGGCTTTCTACATTCATGAGCTGCACAGGGTTTCTCTTATGTTTAGTGAGGTGAGATGACACTTCTCTCCTGATGCTCACTGAGCGAAACACAAAAGTGCAAGATGGCGGTACTTTGGTTCAGGCTGTGCAGAGAAGGAGGTCTGGAAGGCAGTGGGTTCTGTGTCAACAGAACTCCAACACAGGAACATCTCCTGATATCCCAATGTGAGTAACTTCTGTAGCCAAGGTTAATAATTGGTCAGTGTAAATAACTTATATAACTGAGGTTGCTATTGGCACACAGCCATTATTGTGTATTTTGGTATAAATGTAGACTGCCATGAGGGCTTTCAAGAGGTCTAAGTCGCTGAGGACCGTTTCAAATGGTGGGCTAGGGACCTGAGTGCACGTGGCTGAGTAGCACCTGAGAATACAGTCATGCTCAGACATTTCCACAACTCTGTCTCCTCTTTGGGCTGCCTGAATCTCAAGTGAACCTCCCCAGTCTGAACTTGTGACAAGACAGTGCCTTCTGGAAAAATGTCTTCTTTACATCCTTAGAGCTTCTTTCTCCCCTGTGCGAAGTCTCTGATGCTGACCAAGCTGTGACTTTGCGCAGAAAACATTCCCACAGGTTACATTCAGAGGTTTCTCCTCTCTGAGAATCCTCGGATGTCTCCTGAAGGTTGACTCCTCAGAAAATGTTTTTCTACATTCAACGCATGCATAAGGTTTTTCCCTCAGGTTTTCCCTGTGTGAGTCCCCTGATGTTTAAGGACTGACTTCCCACAGAAGATCTTCCCACATTCACTACAGTCATGTATTTTCTCCTGTGTGAAGCCTCTGGTGTTTACCGAGGACTGACTCCATATAGCACATTTTCTCACATTCTTACATCCATAGGATTTCTCCCCTGGGTGTATTCTCTGGTGTACAGTGAGTTTTGACTCCTGACCGAAGGGTTTCCCACACTTATTATATTTACAGGGTTTTTGTTGTTGTTGTTGTTCCTGTGCGAGATCTCTGATGCAGTCAGGTCTTTTGGGACAAAGATTTTCTACATTCACTACATTTGAAAGGCTTCTCCCCTGTGTGTGTTCTTTGATGTTGACAGGAAGGTTTTCTTACACTTAGAACATTTATAGAGCCTCACTCCTATGTGAATTCTTTGATGTAAAGTGAAGGCCACATTATGGTAAAAAGTTTCCCACATTTATTACATACATCGGGCTTTGTGCTCTCTGCTTTATTGTGAAGTTAGACTTCAGGAAGAAGGTTTTCTCATATATATTACACTGGTGGTATTTCCTTCCCCGGTGAATTACATGATATTTCTTTCAGAGGACTGATTTACCACACAGGCTTCCTCACATTCATTAAATTTGTAGGGATTCTCCCTTACACTGTGTGATGAACCATAAGTATGACTCATCCCTGAAGGTTTTCTCACATACATTATTATCACAAAGCATCTGTCTTGGGTGAGTTTTCTCCTGTAAAAACAACATTCTTTGGCTCTACCATGCCATCCATTTGAGATACGAGATAAATGCTGTTAATATATGTGACTCTGGTTTCAGACCACCTGGAAAAAAATACTACTAAATAAATATTTTCTATTCCCTCTATTCTTTTTTCCTTGGAAGTACTGGGTACCAAATGCAGGATCTTTGCACTGAGCTCCATCTCCAGCTCTTTTTCAATGTTTAGCTCACCAGGTGTGGTAGCATATGTTTGTAATCCCAGCACTCTGGGAGACTGAGGCAGGAGGACTGCAAGTTCAAGCTAGCCCGGGCAACTTACCAACTTAATGAGACACTGCCTCAAAATATAAAATTTAAGGGGGAGGGTACTGGGGATAAAGCTCAGTGCAAAAGCCCTGGGTTCAATCTCTGGTACCACAAAAAATGAAATAAAATTTTTATCTTGAGACAAGTCTCACTAAGTTACTTCTGTCATCTCTAGGGAATTTTGTTTCACAAAGGTCAGCTTACTATGTCTCTCTCCTTCTAATATGTAAGTTCCAAAAGATCAAGGGCTTTATTTATTTTTTTTGGTACCGGGGATCAAACTCAGAACCTTGTGAGGCAGGCCTGACACCACTGAGCTAAATCCCTAGCACTATCAAGGGTTTTATTTTATCCCTGCTGTATTCCTGTCACTTAGGACATGAATGGCACAGACCAGGAGATCAATTAATAATGGTTAAGTGGATAAGTGCTTCTTGGAAACAAAAGAAGTCCTCGACAATGAAAGGAATGTAGGCAACAAAGAATGCTAAAGGGAAGGAGACTAACAAAGGTAAAATATGTATTATGAGACTGGCAGGGATGAAATTCACAGTTCAAATAACAGAAAAGTCTTTTTAAAAAGTCATGCAAAAAGAACATTCATATGTAGAATGATATCCATTGCTGAATCTAGTTATCTGAGGCAGGCAGGCTAACAACTCTTAGTTACTTCCAAACAGATGGAGCCCTAATTCTTGAAGAAAGTCTCAAAAAACACTTTAAAGATGTCTAAACTCACAACCTAGGAGCTAGTTTCACTAGTTACCTGGGTAACAATGGCTTGCAAATTCTTTAATATCCATGGTGCCTCCCATTCCAACTTTAAGAGCCCCTCAGATTTGAAAATGCAAAGCCTTGAAGATATAGGACATAGAAAAAGTTCCTTTCTAGCAGCTTCTTGCCTTTAATCTGTGGTGCTGAGATGTTGCAGATCTGAGGAGTGATCTCCAGACTGAGATTCTTGTTCTGGACCCCTCCTACTTCAGAAGAACAGTTTTCTTTCAAAGAAGCTGGAACTTGAGTTTAAAGGACAAAATTAGTTTATCTTAGAACTTCATTCAGGCCTCCAACCTCAGAGAACTCACTTATCTAACATGTATATGAAAGAACTTTTATCATTTCTTTTTTGTGAGCATTTTGTTTTATAGTTAGACAAAACCATTAATGAAAAGCATGAGTTGCCTTTTGGTTGTGCATGGTATATATAAGGAAGATGTACTTGAGATCATTTTATCACTGAGCTCTCTGGTATTGAGAAGATTTAACTGTTGGCACTGTTTTGTGATCTCTGGTGGAGACTAGAAGAAAAACACTGAGGGCCAGGGATTTAGCTCAGTGGTTCCGCTGCCTGCCTTGCAAGCACAAGGTTCTGAGTTTGATCCCCAGTACAAAAACAAAATACAAAACAAAACAAAAAACATTGAGATCAAGTCTTATTTTCTTTTCTTTCAAATTTTTATTAGTACATGCTTGTAGTACATGATGATTACATTCATTTTTGGGGAGTTGGTACATGTACATAACACTTTTTTTTTCAAGCATCATAATGTTTATTGATAGATACAAGTATATAAATTCAGGGCATGAACATGACTTGATAAATTAAGTAGACTTAATTTCAATACTATAATAAGAGGGACCAATTCAAATTCTCACGATTTGTTTCATACCCACAAAAACCACTTCAGGGACATTAATGATCTCTCAAAACTGATCCATTTTGTGCAAGTAAACCATATTTATTTTATTTTATTTTATTTTATTTTATTTTATTTTTTTGGGTACCAGGGATCGAACTTGGGTCCTTGCACTTGCGCAGCAGGTGGTGAACCCACTGAGCTAAATCCCTGGCCCAACCATATTTCTTTTAAAAAGACTTGTGCACTTGCCCAGGCTCAAGGATATTAAAATCTAGCACATATAGCCCATTACTAGAGGTAGAAATACAGGCGATACACTATCACAGCAACAACCATCAAACACAGTTAAGAATTTTCTGTAACAACCAAATGGATAATCAAATATTGCAACAACTCAAGCATTACTGAGCAAAGTGCATTTCTACAGTATTCAGTGTTGCTATTTAGTTTTCTAACTTACAACAGCCTATGATAACTGGCAGTGAAAAAGGTCCTTGCAATGGACTGCCTCTACTTGAGAACTTATGATGTAATTATTGCATGCTGCTAATATACTATCTAAACATTAAAGATACTCCTAAAATATTTGGTGGCAGACTATGATTAAGACATTACACTACAAAAAAAATCTTATGCAGAAGGAAATCCTAAACTGACGTGCTTCTGCTTTAAATATTGTGAAAACATTACAGCAGAATGAATTTTCACAGTGGTTAGGTCAAATGCAGTTACATCATAGCAACAGTACGTTTTGC